AGTAAGATTCTGGGCAACCAGACTAAGAAAAAGTCAGTATTCCAGGGTGGCTGCTTCTAACAGCATTAGTAGGATGAGGGTTAAAGCAAGTAAATAACAAGTTTGAATTCCTATATCAAGCTACAGCATCCTCATTTATTACAGATATAATACTCAGTAGAAAACAAGATCTGAGTCTCCCCAGTTAGCACAGCTGGTGAATTCACTGTCCCATTAGATCTATTCTGTGAAAACTGGAGCATTGATTAGGATTTGAAGTATGCCAAGAATTAAGTGGGAATAGGACTGAGGAAGTAATTTCTTCACTTAGAAGGAGAATGTTCCTTTCTCCATGAAGAAATCCTTCCCCCAAAGAAGTCCATTTACCAGAGAAAGTCAGTTCCCCTCTGCCATGGTCTTTTTTGTTTCCAAACCCATAGCCAATGTTAAAGAGTGCAGCATTCTTCCTGGAAGTCAAATCCAGAGAAATCTAACATATAGAAATAATTTGGGGTCTTTGCCAATTTCTAGTTACAATAAATTCAGGAACACATGAAGAAATAAGATTATGAGTGCACTTTTAGTATATCAGCATGCTGCCTTACATAAGATAATTCTAGACTCAAATAACTGAAGAATATGGTTATGGTCTTAATCATTTGCAGAATTAGATTCAACAAAGGTACATGATAAATGAAGCTGAGATGTCGGAGGTCCTTAGCATTATGGCAGACAGTGATTCTCAAACTTTTGTGTATGCAGAATCACAAGAAGGCTTTCAAAACAGACTTCTGAGCCTTATACCTAGAGTTTGTGGTTGAGATGAAGCCTAAGAATTTGCATTTCTAATAAGTTTTTGGGCAATAGTGATGCCACTAACCCAAGGATCCTCTTTGAGGACCACTGATATAAGAGAGAAGAAATAAATCAAACTTTGAGAGACAGGAATGTTGAATCATTTGCTTATGTAAATTCTCCCTTTACTTGCTACCTTTCTTTCCCAAAAGTACCAATATAGTCTTATAGTCTAAATTTAACTTTATTGAGGTATAATTTACATAAAAACGTGTACTCAAATTATACAGTTATCTGTGTTTTGACAAATGTACACACAATTATTTAATTACCATAACAATTAAAATATAGAATGTTTTCATCTTTCCAGAATTCTTTCCTATTCTTTTTTATCCCTGTCTCTCCTGCTTTGAACCCTAGGTAACCCTTCATCTGTTTTTTGATGCTGGTGATTATTTGTTTTAACAGATTTCATAAAAGTAGAACCATACAGTATTTATTTACTTAGTCAGTCTCTGGTTTCTTTTGCTTTGTATAAGGTTTTTAAAATTTACCTGTGTTGTTGAGTTGTTGAGTACTGTATCACTGTATCTTTTTTTTTTTGACTTGTTTTACATTCAGTCCCATCTGTTCTACTTTTTAAATTGGTTGGTTTGTCTCATTGAGTCAAAAGTCATCTATATATTGTCAGTATAAAACATTTGTCAGATATATTATTATTGCAAATATTTCTGGAGTCTTGGCTTGCCTTTTCATTTTTTAATGGTGTATTTCAAAAGCAGAAATTTTAATTTAGATAAAATCTAATCTGTTTGTATGTATTTGTATTTTTTGCTTTTGGAGTTCTATCTAAATGTTTTTTCTAACAGAAGGTTACAAAGATTTTCTTGTATATTTTCTTCTAGGAGTTTTATATAAATTTAGATATCTTAACAATGTTGTGTTTCTAATCCATGAACATATTATATCTTTCCATTTATTTAGGTCTTCTTTGATCTCTCTCAGCAATGTTTTATAGTTTTCAGTACAGGTCTTGTACCTGTTTTATTAAATTTATTCTGATTTTGTTTTTGATGCTGTTGTTAAATGGTTTGCTTTATTAATTTTTTTCAGTCATTTGTTGGTAGCATATTGAAATATAAGATTTTTTTTGTATAATGGCTTTATATTCTATGACTTTTCTAAATTAACTTATTAATTATAGTGATTTCTTTTTAAATTTAAAATTGATCCTTTAGAACTTTCTATTATATGCAGATAACAATTTTACTTTTTCCTTCCCAATTTACTTGCCATTTATTTTGTTCTCTTGTTTTATTACTGGGATTTCTAGGATTGTGCTAAATTGGAGTCATGAGATTGAATTTCCTTGCTGTATTCCCAGTCTTGGGGGGAAGCAGCCACTGTTTTATCATAAATTATTATTTGCTTTAAATATTTTTTGATGCCTTTTATCAGCTTGATTCCTAGTTTCTTGAGAATTTTTATCATGAGTGGACTTTGAATTTTGTTCAATATTTTCTATATACTTGTATACGATCATGTGGGTTTTTTCCCCCTATTAATACCACGTATTACAATATGACATTTTCAAATGTTGAACTAGATTGAGTTGTCTGCTTAAACCCCATAGTTCTGTTATTAATGTTTCATTGTGAATTTGTTATGTTCAAGAGGGATATTACTCTCTAGTTTTCTTATAGTTTCTTTGTCTGATTTTGCATCAGAATAATAATGACCTCATATACTGGGTTGGGAAGCATTTCCTGCTTCTACTTTCTGGAAAATTTTGTGTAGAATTGATTTATTTGTTCCTTAAATATTTGGCAGATTTGTGGATATTGAATGAGTAATCGGGAGATGACTTAGTGATATAGCAGTTATTTAGTGATACAGTACACATTCCAGCATCTCCGGTTTCCTTTTATCTGTACTCCATAAAGACTAATTATTCCTTAATATTCTTTTTTTAGACAATCGGGTTACATTATAGAGATTAGATGATAGCTGTTTTGGTTTGCTTCTGTCTTGAATATTTTCCTCGATCTCTTTAGCATCACATTTAGTAATTATCTCTTAGAGTAGACACTTTAGAGATGGGTATGCTCATTCCTGCTCTATTTTTGCCCTGAGATACTTCAATTCAGTCCCTCAAAATACCCAAGAATGTTTGCTCAACTGGGATATTACCTATTAATCCTTAACTATATTAATACCAATCTGTGCTCTCTTCAGTTCAGATGAAATATGTAAAATCATGAACACTGAGCTAGAAGGTACTTTATCGACCATTTTGCCTAACCTCAAAAAAGCAATAATTGTAAGCTGTTTAGCTGAATACTGGGAGTACTGATGTGTTTTCATGTGTTTTGGGCACTTCATACTGTACATGGTACAGTCCCTTGTTTTTGGATTATAATCTTTTCTGTGCACACCCTAACTATGGAGAACCTCAGTAGTGTCCAGTCCATTCGTGTACAGTAATACTGCAGTATGGTTAGCTAAATGACCATCCAAGCCAAATCTCCCTGAGCCTTGACTTCATCTGTAAAATGAAGAAAATGAAGATCTATTTTACAGGGTTACCAAGATACTAAAGTATAGAGAAAGCACTTGGTAAACCACAATCTACTTTTTATTTTGGTTTGAAAAGAGTATTGAACAGGATGAAAAACAAAAATCAATCAATCTGAGAATCATTCAATTATTACATGGGTCCTCAGCCTGGAAGACATTAGCTAAACCTAAAAGGAATGGCCTTGGAAATTAGAATTTCTAGTATATTAAATCACAAGTACCATTTGCTGGTCAAGCAATCATTGACTACCTTACAGTTAAAAACAAAAAACATTTCCTCACCAGTACTATCAAACAGAAGACTGTATTTGCTTTTAGGAGATTACAAGAAGTTGACCAACTAATGGCACTTCAATACATTTGTGTTTTTATAATGACAACTTAGAAAATTGAAGTTATTGAAGTACCTATGAAAATAGTATAAATCAACTACCCTAGAATATATTGCAATTTTTTGCAAGGTTGGTTTAATAACTATGGCATGATATCAGTGCTTATCCTCACATCACATTAAATATATAGTTTTAAATGATTTTTACAAATACAAATAAAATTTTATAGTCATTTAGTTTGGCCCCACAAATTTATTAAGCATTATTACTGTAAGTAATCAGAGTGTTCTGGTCCTCAAGGAGATGATTGTCCAATAGGAGGAAGAATTATAAGACAGTAGAAAACACTAGGATGGAGGTACTGTATATACAAAAGGCATGGGAGTCCTGCAGGGACTTGGAGATTATTGCCAAATATCAAGAACACTGAAAGGAAGCAATATTGTTGCTAAGACAGAAGTTTTAATGTTAGGTGGGAGGAAGGGCAAATAAAACTGTAAAAAGACATGGGGGCACCAGTGCCAGTGGTACATGCCTGTAATTCCAGTGACTTGGGAGGCTGAGACAGAAGTATCAAAGCCTCAAGGTCAGCCTCAGCAATTTAGTGAGGCCCTGTCTTAAAAAATTAAAAAGCTCTCGCATGCACAAGGCCCTGAGTTCAATCCCCAGCACCACAAAAAAATAAAATAAAAAAGCTGGGGATATAGCTCAGTGGTACAGTTCCCCTGGGTTCAGATCCTAGTACCAAAAAGCCAAAAAACAAAAACAAAACCTATGGAGCCAGGCATTAAGGTGCCTACTTGTAATCCCAGCAACTTGAGAGGCTAAGGCAGTTTTGAAGTTTGCCTCAGTAACTTGGCAAAGTCCTAAGCAAATTAGAATTTGTCTCAAAATAAAAAATAAAAGGACTGGGGATGTGCCTCAGTGGTTAAGTGCCGCTGGGTCCAATCCTTAGTATCCCCTCCCCCCACCCCTGCCAAAAAGTACCCACAAACCATGGAGGTTTGAGAGAGCATGGTGTTTCCTGGACTATGGTAGAGCCCAGAATGAACATTTCACTATGAAATAGAGAGGGGTCAAATTGTGGTAGTTTACTTGTGTGGTCATTTTCCAGACAGCTACTGAAGAATTCTGATTTGTAGAGTGCAAAACCCATTTTAGAATGCCTTTCTCAGTGCAGTGGGGAGGATGAACAAGAAGTGGGTAAGAAAGGTTAGAAGTGAATTCTCAGCCAGGGTTTATGGAATATGAGTGTCCTTCTACTGACTTAAGGAATGAATATAATTAGGGGGTTTTTGTCCACAATGAGCAGTTTACTCAGATTTTAAATTTATTTAGGACAGTTTTATCTATAGTCTTATGTTTCCCCAGTGACCCCTGTGTGACATGATTATGCTTTAAAGTGCTTCTCTTTTAAAAATCTTGTACTATTAAAGGCTTTGTCTATTGCTTGTACCTTGATGGGCTCCATGAAACAAAGCAATACTCAGGAATAGACAAAATGATAAATATTTGTAATTTACACCATTATTTTCATATCATTGAGTTACTCAATATAATTTTTCATTGTACCTTCAAAATCCCTGAGACAGGTCAGAAACCTGTTTTGCCAGTGAAGAAACTGAGGTAAAAATCTTCTCCTTGGGTTTCAGCATGAGAGACTAGAGTATGTCAGCGAAATTATTGCTTTTGACCATGTCAGTTTCTTAATCCCTCCTTCCACTTTTTAGTTGTGGTTTCTTTGTAAGTCCAAAAGTGCAAAGTGTTTTGAGGATTGTTCTTCCTTGTGTTGGAAATAGAGTGCATGGTGGGCACAAAGTGCTCAAAGCGAAAGCCAGGTGCTGTTTCTCCGATTGTCGGGTTTATGAGAAAGGAAGGATATGTAATATTGACTATTAATGAAGCACTGATCGTGCAGTTAGTCTGTATTCTTCAGGAGTCTCAGTATATGATGGGTGTATCACTGTACACAGTCATCTGTCTGAAGTGTCATCACTGGACTCTTCCTGTACAAGAAGTGCGTTGCTCTCCTCCCTCCAGTTTATGCATTTGACAGCCCTACAAAAGCAAACAGGCCTTGTGAAGTGCATATTGAAGCAATGCATGAATAAGCAATCTAGTCCTTCTTTTCCATGGTTACAGGTTATTAGTGTTTCTAATAAATTATGGAATTGTGCATAGCAGGATTGGCATTTTGAATCCAATGAACTCATTAAGCACTGTGTTCAGAAATTTAAAAATTTGCATGAGTTTTTTTCTTCTGGATTGCTAAAATAGCTCATCAGTCCTGCTGTCTCCTTGGTAGAGTCCCCATAAAATACTTACTTAATAAATACTTAATAAAGCTATTACTGAAGTTCCTGTTCAAAAGTTGGAATTGAATCTAGGCATTAGGACATTTGGAAATAATTAAAACAACATGTAATTTTGATTTCGAAAATATTGAGAGTATAGGGTAAAAAAAGACTCAGACGCCCATCTACACTTACCTCATTATTAAAAGCATTATTAATAGGATTACTACCTTTTACCCATCCATTTCTAACAAAATAGCTATATATATGTGAAGAAAGAAATCACTGGACAAATCACTGTGAACTTTTTTCACGTCTTTGGATACCCATTCTGAATTGCCTTGTGCTAGAGCTGAATCATGCAACTACCAACAACCTATAAGATGGACTGTCTCATCATGTGCTTGATGACACGGCATGAATTTATAATTTTGATAATTCAATAGTTGAATGGTCTCTTAAAGACACCTTAGTAAATATACTTTTTGTTAGAGGAACTTCTAATCCTACTATATCCCATCTGATACAGATCTAGGTAGCAGAATTCAGCTGAGACAGTATCTATCAAGTGCCTACTATGAAAACGTGGGCCAGCCTTCATGGAGTTCTCAGTCCTGGCAGAATGCCTAAGGCTACTGCTTGGAGGTTTCTTTCTCCCTTACTCACAGCCTGACCCCAAAGTGCTTAGGAGAAGCAGAGAAGGCCTGGCTTCTTGTGACCCCTGTCCCTTGATTCCTGTCACCATGCTATGCAGCCATGTGAAATGGACAAAGCTCTGCAGAGGCAGGTTAATGCCCTTTTAGATCACTGCTTTGGCTATATATATATATATATATATATATATATATATATATTTACTTGGGTGATTTTGTGACCACTTATCTGGTTGGCTAACATTTTTTTGTTAATTGAGAAACAGGAAGAAATAAGTATTTCTTTTATGTTTATGTCTCTGATCTCTTTAATTTGTGTGCTTTTTTTTTTTTTTTTTTTTGAATTAGTGTCTTTAAAAATATTTTTAGGGCTGGGGTTGTGGCTCAGTGGCAGAGTGCTTGCATAGCACATGTGAGACACTGGGTTTGATTTCAGCACCACTTATAAATAAATAAATAAATAAATAGATTAATTAAATACAGGTATTGTGTCTATCTACAACTAAAAATATTTAAAAAATATATACATATTTTTAGTTGTTGATGGACATTTATTTATTTGTTTATATGTGATGCTGAGGATCGAACCCAGCGTCTCACATGTGCTAGGCAAGTGTCTGCCACTGAGCCACAACCACAGCTCTAATATGTATTATTTATGAACAGAATTTTGTGCTTTGTATTATTTGAATGTTTACATTTTATTTATTTATTTTTGAATGTTTACAATTTAAAAGGGAGTCACTAAACAAGCTCAGGAAAGAGCTCTCAATATTTAGCTCAATTCTCTCTCCTTTTCTCACTTATTCAAGAATCCATATTAAAGTCAATCTTAAGACAGCAATCTTTGACCACTGAGGGAAATTCTTATATTAAATATACATATCTATTCTTAGGGGCTAAATTAATAAATTGTTTATTCATTTATTTGATGCTAGGGATTAAACCTAGGGGCACTTTACCGCTTAATTCAGATGCCCTTTGATAAAATGATTAGAAATAATCACATACCATAGACTGATCACTGGAATGAACAACAGGCCAGCAGACAGCAGGAAAGTGAAGCCAGGGTACCAAGCAACTGTGGCTGAATAAATTCCATTAAAAGCAGAAACTGCAGTGACTCCACCAAGTGTTTCTAAGAACGCGATACAAGCAAACAGGGTACCTGTGTGGGGTACAGGGGTGTGGGAGAGGGGGCAGAAAAGACCGGATTACAAAACAAGAAAGAAAAGCTGATGAAGAAAAATTGTTATTCATTGAAAACTGCAAACAGGGAGACACTGATGGTGAATGAAATCTGTTCCTTCAAAATTCCTGAGAAGTCAGTAACCCATTTCGCAGACGAAAAAGTTCAGACAAACATCTCTCCTAGGAGTCAGTGTGAAAGATGTTGAAGACAAAGTAGCTGAGTTCCACTGTAGGTAGACGTGTTCATAAGATATGTGCGTGGGCAGTCCAAGCTCATAATCTGAGAGAAATGCACATGATTCAACCAACTTTTACCATAGTTAGAATCCAAGACTATACTGAGTGAAGAGTTAAACCTCCAAAGATAGGCTAGTTGTCTTGATGTGCTTTCTTTCTTTGTAATACTTGGCATCACTAGGTAGTAAATTTTGTGAGCATGTCAGACAGACATGACTTCCTTTTACATATGCTCAGTCTATGTTCCTATGTGGTTTCTGCTTTCTGTAGACTTTATCATCTAATTATCCCTAGGGTCTTTTAGACTATATACTGATTTTCTATTTAAACCTTTCCATTCTGTTAGACACATGCTAATACATTCTTCAAGTTCTTCATTAAACAATAGGATATGCTCTTATAGAACATAAATCTATCTCGACAAAATAATATGTAGTCATTTATATATCTTCTTTTGGCTATAATGAAAGCTCTGTCAATGCAAAGTGCATTTCTTGGTTGCTCCTATGTCCCCAAGGCCCAGTTGTTCCTGGTGATGGTAGATATTTAATAAATATTTGTTTAGTAAATGAATAAAAGCTTAATTCAGGACTCCAATTATCAGTCATCAAGTAGCATAAAGATTTATTGCCTCCAGGATTTATGATAATATGCTAAGTCAGTTTAATTGGAAAGGAGTTCTCCTACTTGCCCAACTACAATATTATTTTCTTTATTTGTGATCTCTTGCTATAGCCAAGAATAATGCTGTGCTCTGGAATGCAGACTGCTCAGTGCTAGTTCTATTATATAAGGGCGTTAATCCATTCTTCATGGGAAGCAGGTCAGACAGGGCACTATCTGTCTGATACACATACTATTATGAAGTAGCTCTAGCTTGTTGCTGAATGTCTCTGAGCAGTTCAACTTGTTTAGTAGTCGCAGAGATCAGTAGGATTCAGTAAGGACACTGGAGTTTACATTCTAAGTTTTTTTTTTTTTTTAATCCAACAGAACTCAAAAGGTCAAGCCTATCTTATTGTGTTTCAATTTATAATCTTATAATCACAGGAATTCATGAGTGATACAAAGGCAAAATAGCTAGTCCAAGATGGCTTGAAGTATGAATTTCACATCTGTACAGCACACAAAGATTTTTTTTTTTCCTAACTGGGATTGAGCCCAGAGGTACTTTACCATTGAGCTAAGTTCCCAGCCCTTTTTACATTTTTTTTTTTTTTTAATTTTGAGATAGGGTCTCACTAAGTTGCTGAGGGCCTCCCTAAGTTGCTGAGGCTGACTTTGAACTTAAGATCCTCCTGCCTCAGCCTCCAGAGTCACTGAAGTTACAGGTGTGTGTGATGGTGCCCACCTAGCACAGAGAGCTTAAAATAATTACCCCATTTTTTTCACCTTCTTTTTGTTGTCGTCTTTGTTTTTTTGGTGCTGGAGATTGAACCCAGAGCCTCTTACAGACTAAGCACATGCTGAACCACTGAGCTCCACCTCTGCTCCTCCCCTTTCTCATTTAATATAAGAGAGAGTGAGGGCATCTGAAAGCCTCTCAGTATTTCCCCTTCCTCTGATTATTATAAAATACATAATATTTTCACAAAATGGCTATTTTTAAAAAATAACAAGAGATACGAGTACATTTAGTTATAGAAATTTTAACACTGTCCAAAGTACTTATTAATTTATAGTAAGGAAAAGTGTAATTACACTATCCTAGCATAATGGAGTCATAATTCACAAAGTTATTGCAATTTTGAATAAGAAATGCCCAAATGCAAACTAAGCATCTTTCAATGTTATTATAGTTAATAATGAGATGATTTTTAAAAAGCCTTTATAAACTCTATCAAATATGAACAAAAACATACATTTTGACAAGTTCATTTTATCTTTAAGTCAAAGCATGTAAACATTTTTTCTTAACAGCTTTACTGAAATATAATTGATACACCATAAAGATCACTCTTTTAAAGTACAAAATTCAGTATTTAGTACTATATATTTAATATATTATTTAGTATATTCACAGAGTTGTGAGACCATTACTATTTTCGACATGTGGAATATTTTCATCACCCCAAAAAGAAAATCTATGCCCAATAGCAATTACTTCCCTTCTCCCCAGCTCCTGGCAAGCCTCAATCTAATTTCTGTGTCTCTATAAATTCGCCCATTCTGGATATTTCATGTAAACTGAGTCATATTTGTACAATAATGTGTGGCCTTTTGTGACTAGCTTCTTTCATTTAGCATAATGATTTCATAGTTCACTCATGACATTATAGTATGTTTCAGAACATTAATTCTTTTTATTGGCAGATATACTATATCCATTTGCATTGTGTCCACTATTTGGCTATCATGAATAATACTTCTATTTTGTTTGGACATGTGTTTTCATTTCTCTTGGTAGATACATGGGGGTGGTGTTGCTGGGTCATAAGGTAACTAACTTTCTGAGGAACTACCAAACTGCTTTGCAAAAGTGGCTGTACCAATTTATATACCCAGTAGCAGTGGATGAAGGTTCCACTTTCTCAACTTCCTCACTCATACTTGTTATGATCTTTTTTACTTTGGCTATCCAAGTGTGCCTTATTGTGGGTTTGATTTGCATTTCTTTGATGGTTAGTGATATCCTACTTTTTTTCATTTGCTTATTGACCTATCTTCTTTGGAGAAATGTCCACTCAGATCCTATATCCATTTTTAATTGCATTGTTTGTCTTTTTGTTATAGAGTTTCAAGCATTCTTACCTTCGCTGAATACAAGTTCCTTATCAGACATAGATTTGCAAATCTTCTCTGTGCCTGCCTTTTCATTTCCTTCATAGTATTCTTTGAAGCACAGAGATTTTGAATGAAGTCTTTATTGAAGTCTAAAGTACTTATATTCTTCTTTTGTTGTGCTTTTAGTGTCATATCTAAGAAACCAATGCATAGTCCAAGGAAGCAGGTAGATTTTTACATAGTATAATAACAATTTTTATATTCCTAAGTGGTTCTCAAGGTAACCATCATCACGTGGTCTATAAACAGCTGTTTGACTATACAGCTTCAGCTTATGAGTGGAAAAGAATCAAGAAATATATTTTCAAGTTATTGAATTATGCAGCTTTCCTTGGTGTTGACTAAACTGGCATAAATACAAAAGCACACTTAGGAATTTTCCATAAATAATCAAATAAGAACCAGACTGATATGATACAAAAGAAAGTACCTATGTCTAATAATATTCATATGATACAGAAGAACAGGAGGACAACCCCATATGCTAATATCTACTAGTTATAATTATAAATTTAACTCTTGTCTTCTTTCTGTGCTGGTTATTCTCTGTCTGCCCTTTCAACCATTGGGCCCCTGTTCCCTGATCTACACTTGGGAGGCTGACCCTCATATGACATGACTAGGACATCCTTCTTGGTCCAATTTCCTATTGTGCTATGTCAAAGGTATGAAGGAGGAGAACAAGGCTATAGTGTGTTTTCTCTCTTTCTTCCCTATTTTGGGCACCTCTCTGGGGACCTCCACAGTGCCTATACCATCATTCCTGGAAGTCTCTGATTTGAACTAGTTGAGTGGGATCATGTTTGCTGTAGGACTCTGATTTGGGTCCCAAGTAAGAATATAATTTGAAGTCTACATATATAGTCTAAGTACAGCCAGCCCTCTATATCCACAGCTTCCACATCCAAAGATTCAACCCATCATACATAAAAAAATATAGTTAGGCATTTGATGGTTATTTTTCTACTAAACATGTAAAAAAATCATTTTATTGTCATTATTTCGTGAGCAATGTAGTATAACTACTATTTACATAGTATTTACATTGTGTTATGTATTGTAAGCCATCTAGAGATGATTTAAAGTACACAGGAGGACATGTGCAGGTTATGTGCATATAATATATAGTATTACTTAAGGGACTTGAGCATCTGTGGATTTTGGTGTTTGTAAGGGGTCCTGGAATCAATCTCCCTCAGATATTGAGAGACAATATCTGTATTTAAGTTACCAATCTGGCTAAAGAACCATTAATTAAAAAATATATCGTGTTTCTCTACTGTGGAAAACATATCTCTGTAATGATCTGGAAGGCCTGGCACAAACGCAGAATTCTTAGACCTTTTTAGAATTCCATGTAGGAACAAGACAGCATGGTAGAGTTGGCCCTTGGCCCTCTGTCCCCAGCCTGCAGCCCACCCCCATTCTGTTCTACTCCTTGATCCATCTTGCTTAGAAAGGGTTAACTGCACATGGGTGTCAACATGCTTGTTCTATGATTCCAAGTTTTGGTCAGACCTTCCTATGAAGAGACACCCTTGGATTCTCTGGTCTAGAGGAGAGCATGTGGAGGTATATCCATGGAAGAGGATCAGGCAGACACTCACTGGGCATAAGCTCAGAGTTGTATGGATAGAAATTATGGAGACTCAGGTAGCCAGAATACAGTATAGAAAAAGCAGAGGTGTTTTGGACTCTCAGTGGACATATCCACTTAACCCTTAGGTCTCCTCTTGGGTTAGGGCACAGCCAGAGGAAAGGCCAGAGCCGCTTTCTAAAACAAGGGCCCTAGGAAGGGGCTCTTTTACCTGAGTGTAAACCTCTTCCTGACATAGCTTACCACTTAATTCAAAAGATCTGGGCAGAAAATGGTTATCAATGCATCAAATTCTATCATACATTCTGTTGATACATTCATTACATTCTTTAAATGACTTAAACTCACCTTGTTCAGTAGGACGGACTACTTTTGACAACATGGATCGCAGGGCAGAGAGTGGCATAATAGTGAAAAGGAATGGCACCCGGACTATGAGAGAAATGACTGGATTAGAACACTTTTGGTAACTGTACATGGGAAACATTCTCAGTCTAAACATGTAAGTTTTAGGTCCAGATCTATAATCTACCAATGGAGGCTGAGCAGCTTCTTCTTATACACTTCTTGTTTAGCAAGTTGTGACAGCTAGTTTTTGTCTGTTTGTTTGTTGTCCTTTTTCAGACTTAACACAGTGTTAGTTAGCATTCCTTTACTGCACAGATTCATTTATTGGTAAACTGGCTCCTTATCATCTTGCAAGCTCGTCTTTGTGTCTAAATAACTTCATAAATACAAATGGCCTCTGTTCTTAAATTATGATCCTTAACCATCAATAGCCTTTTAAAATATGTCATGATATATTTGCAGATTGCTTTAAGGTTTTCAAAGTGTTTTCTCATATATCAACTTACATGGCCTTGGCAGTTCTTAGTGAGACAGAGGAAAACTGGCATTTATTGAATAGTAGGCATTGTGTGAAGTGTTTTGTAGTTACCTCATATTCATTATATTCCTCTGAATGAGGCATTATCATGCGCATTTTGCAAATGAGAAAATGAGAGCTCAGAGGAGTTAAGTAACTTGCTGAAGGTCACCTAGGGCTGTTGGTGGAAGTTAAGGCCATTTCTCTTTGGTCACACTACTTCTATACTAGGAAGTAGGAGGTAAACACTTCATTTGTAAAAAAGACTAAATTTAGCCTTTCTCAAAGTGATGCTTCCCAGTTCCCATAGCCCTTTCCAATGCAGGATCTCACCTAAACCCTATAAAAATAGTTTTGAGGCATGTAATTAAGCAAGCAGTTCAGTGTGCTGAATAGCAATTCATCACAAGTCAATTCATGAAATGACCAGTAGGTCAATTTGCAAAAACTTCCCCTAAAACACTTTCCTTTTGAAGGATGCGAAGCTATTCTTTTGGTATTGAGGGAGATAGGACCCTCAGAGCAAACCCCAAGTACTTCTTGCCTCCTTCATCTCTTTGGAAGCAAAATTTGTGATTTCTGATTTTGTATAAAGTTTATAACAGTAATTTCTATTCTAGTTGCAATGTATTATTGGATGGTAAAATTAATTCGGTGGAGCACATCAGAATATTTTTTAAAATAGCATAAAACAAATGTCAGAATACTTGGGGGGAAAAGAATTTCTTCTTGAATATATTCAACAAATATGAATTTTCTTATAAATCAATTAGATACACTTTATATAATTGTTCTAAATATTTTTATGGGAAATAGCCTTCTTAGCAGCATTTTAAAAAATGTTCACTTTGGTAAACTGGCTATTGGTGAAAGCTATATTGAAGAACTCATTCATATAAAGAATATCTCCCAAAACATTTTTTTGGCAGACATGTAAATTTGGAAAATTGTGGTCAATTCAGGGAATACTCCCCACTACCCCCAGTAGATTTTGCTCTCATCTTATTTGCTTCTGGCAAACTAGCTTTTTAACTTTAAGACAACTGGAATGGGTTGAATAGAGAGCTTTATATTAAAGGTTCTGTCCCATCAGACTTAATTCATTTCATATAAAATCAAATACACAGTTCCAAGGCTGCATTTGTAACTCACCTAAAAACATCATCAGTGTAGTTCTAGCAAAAGCAGCTGTGGCCATTCCTGCTATGGTGGTAAAAATTCCAATGACGGCCATATGAATATCTTCCATGCAATAAGAAAAAAGCCAAATTCCTAGGAAGCTACTCAAAAAGGAGATACTACTCAAAGCTGATCCATAACCTATAAAAATTTCATTCCAGCAGAGTGGGGGACCCAATTCATAAAGAATAAAAACTGGGGAAATGCCACTTATTACGAAGAAAAAAGTGATCATTGTAAAAAGTAACAAACAGAGCAAAAGCCGTTGCTTACCAGAAGCATTTTTAAAAAGTATGTAAGTTCGGTAAAATAGGTCTTTAAAGCCTTCACTACATGATATGGTAACATTCTGAGTTGAAGACTCTTTCATTGGATTATCAAGTAAAAATAAAATATATGTCAAGTTAACAGTAAGAACTATAGCAATAATTAAAAATGACCATACAAAACCTAGTTCTCTAATAAAATAGCCAGATGACAGTCCTGTTAGTCCAGTAACGAGTCCAAGCATAAAATCAATTATAGCTATTCGAATTGTTTTTTGTTTGGATTCTTTACACTGATCAACTATATAGGCAAAGCAAGCTCCATAAAATGTTGTATAATTGCCACAAAATGCACCAATGAAGGTAGATGCAATCAAAAGCTGGAATGGAAAGGCAAAGTAGGACAGCAAATAGATCCAAATGCTGGTTGCAAGAGCACCAACGGAAGATAAAATCATAGGGAATTTTCGCCCATAGCGATCACTACTAGATAGAAGAATGAACGTAGACAACAGGCCAGGAATTAAACCACTTATCTCCATCTGTAGGCTAAATAAAGACACTTTTTCCTGAACTTCCTGAAAAGAAAAAGAAGACAGTGGATTTATACAATGTGCATAAAAATATCATGATGCATATTTTTCTTGACATTGCCGGTCAGTCATGGGTGGGGAATCTGGTCCATGGTGGGGATCTGACACAGCTTAAATCTTCATCAGTTCACAAAGCAGGTGTCAAAAGGTGACATAAGCATTCATACTCAGTCATGATATTCAAGTGGCCACCTGAATCCATGAAAAGAAAAATGTGTGTACTGGTGTGTGTCTCTTGCAAGAAAGACCTATACACTACTAGGCCTCTGATGTTAGCCATAGTATGAGTTTTCTTCCTTCTATGAAGAGTTCACACTGGGAGATCATGGCTACTATTCCAAAGCAAGAATGACACCCTTTCCTGTGATAGGTCTTCCTGTCCCCACTAAAGGAGAGTGAATAACTCATATGGATACCATATTTGACAGGCCTTTATTTAGGAAGAGCTCTGTTACCCTTTTGACTTCTATTTCCACAAATAGATTAGTGAGAAACTTATTCTTTTATTTACTATATTAAAAAAAAACCTAAAAAGGTAAATCCCATAAAGGGGACTTACATTAACTAAAGATGATAGCTAGCCATAAACTCAACCTCCAATGACCAAAATGGTGACAATGGATGAGTACATACACACTGAGACTGGGAGTTGTGATGACTGACATACTAGTCATTTGATGGAAATAATTTGGGGAGATATAAAAACACTTTCTATTTGCCACTTATCTGTATTTTCCAAATTTAAAATGTAGAGTATGTGCCATTTTTATAATGAGCAATATTAAGCTCATTAAAAATAAAAGATTTATTTATGTGCTATGCAGAAAATAGCCTAAATGATTAATGAATTACAAAATTATCAGATGTTTCCTCCCCTACAAGAAGAATAACCTAAAGGAGGACAGGAACTGAGTCTTCTTCACCACAGTACCACCAGCTCCAAGGACAGGGCAGGTGGGCAGGTACTCAGTAGATAATGAATGAATGGTCATGTAATAAGGACTTTGTAAGCTGCTAGGTGTGCGGGATCTGACCAAATTATTTATCTCCATAGCTTCTTCATCTGACAGATATGAATGTTGTCTCTACTTCACAGGCTATTGGTAGGGTTACATTTAAAACAAACATAAGATGCTAAACATATAAAATAAATAAGGAGGGGAAGGGAGGGGGCATGGGGGTAGGAAAGATGCTGGGATGAGACTGACATCATTACGTAGGTGCATGTACGATTGCATGAGTGATGTGACCCTACTTGGCTTACAACCAGAGAAGTGAAAACTTGTGCTCCATTTGTCTACAATGAATTGAAGAACATTCTGCTGTCATGTGTAATTGACTAGAACAAATAAATTAAAAAACAAAATAAAATAAACAAGGCCCTAGCACAGTTAGTGCTCAATCAATTTGACCTATTTCCTTTTTCTGGATAAAACATCCTGAGCACATCTTTGTATCTCTTACAGATACAGTGCCATCAAGTAAATATTTATTGAATAAATAAATAAGTAAAAATTACCTTACAATCAGCTTCTAAACCAGATGTTCTAGTTTTGGTTTCCTCCTCCCCGTTTCTATCCCACCACCCAGGTTCTGTCTTCCTCTTTTTATTACCATTCCTAACCCAGTCTAGTACACAGACTACTTCCTCATCTGTAACCTGAATTTTAAAATACAGATTTTAACAAGGACAAACTCGAAGCACACATTCCACCATAAATCATAATTGAAACATAAGAAAAAAATTGTGCATGTGGGTGTACGCATGCGTGTGTTTAAACTCTGGAGGAAGATAGTTAACATATCACATAGGAGTAGATAGGAGAAGTTTAAAAAATGCTATTTTCTATCCAAGACTGCACAGAATGACAATGTCCTAAGGAAAGAATAAATGAAGGGCTGGGGATGTGGCTTAAGCAGTAACGTGCTTGCCTGGCATGCGCGGGGCTCTGGGTTCGATCCTCAGCACCACATAAAAATAAAATAAAGATGTTGTGTCCACTGAAAACTAAAAAATAAATATTAAAAAATTCTCTCTCTCTCTTAAATAAAAAAAGAATAAATGAAGGAAAGCAGTAAATCTATGTTAAAGAAGTTACAATTTCATAGAGTAAAATGTATAAGTGAATTCCAGTTGAATAGAAAATATTCCATGTCATTTTCAAAAATCAACAAATATGCCCCGAATTCCTTCTCTCTTTGTTCCCTAGGCAAAGTTCCCCGCCACAGCCTTGACTTTTTGTTAAAGGTCCTTCTGAGATTAACCCCATTGCTGAAGAGAAATATATAGGTGTCCCTTCCAGTTAGAGGGCTCAGAATACTTTAAGATTTGAAAAATAGGTTTGAGCAATATAATATTATTTCTATGAGTGTGTGTTTGTAGATATACATGTATGTGCACGTATTAATACAAAATGAGTTGAAAAATAAGACTTTCACTCATATAAACTATCAAAATGTCAAATGCAAAGTGCGAGAGCTCGGTTTATTCTATCTACACCCTGAAATTTATAATAGTATCTTGCATGCTAATACCTAGGCACGGGTGCATACTGGTTATGTAGGAAGGATAAATGAATATGGCATAGCAGTAAAGAGTCTGTTATCATAATTTTCATGTCCTTTTACACACAATTGATCTTTTTGGGAGGAAAACAAAAGAAAAATTTGAGCTGAAAAAGTGATTGATCTGTTTATTTTATTAGGGACTCACCCCATGCTGTGACATCTCTTATCCTTTCAGTTTTAAAAACAGTCTGCCAAGCCCTAAACTTGGAGTAACCAGAGCCCGACCAGACGAGCTGGATGGTAGAGATGGAAGTTGAGAGAACAGGACACATTTGCTCTTGGATTTAGAGGGAGATGGTGTTCTCTGAGCACAGCAGGGATAGGATCCTGAAAAGGGACCCAAAGGAAGTGCTGAAGGTGATGGTGGTTTCTTTACAAACATGTTCCTTTGTAAATGACATGTCTCCCAGCACTTCCTGTCTCGGTCATAGCTGGGAATAGCAGAGTCGGGGAGTGGGTGGTTTTCAGTTCCCCACTCCGAGGAAAAGCACCAGGGGTCTAAGAGTACCATCTTTAAGAGAAGGGATCAAGATAGTATGTTCTCTTGAGTATAAATCCAATTAAAAATAATACATGAGCTGGGCATGGTGGCGCACACCTGTAATCTCAGGCAGCTTGGGAGGCTGAGGCAGGAGGATTGCTAGTTCAAAGCCAGACTCAGCAATAGTGAGGTGCTAAGCAACTCAGTGAGACCCTGTCTCTTAATAAAATACAAAATAGGCCTGGGGATGTGGCTCAGTGGTTGAGTGCCCCTGAGTTCAAACCCCAGACCTCAAACTAACGAACTAAATAAATAAATACAAACAAATCAGTTTGAAAGTTGGGCCAAAATCTTCTAAATGAGACCACTGCTCTAGGGGGCTCTTAGCAGCTGGACCAGGCTCGAGGTGGGGACTAGCACTTTTTACCTGCTTAGCCACAGAGCCCACCAAGATGGCTGGACCAAGGCCAGTCTTCCCTGAGTCCAGGAGGGCAGGTGCAGCAGACATTCAGGTCCTCTCTGCCCAGGGCCCTCCCACAGGAACAAGGGGGCCTGCTCCCAGGGGCCAGGTGAAGGAAAACACAGAACCAAACACAGGAATGATGATCCCATGGAGCCTTCTTGCTCAAGGGAAGGATGTATAATGAGACATCCTGGAAGGGACACAAAATGCTCAGTGAGGCCCTTGGCCCTTCTCTCATTACAACCTTACTCTAGGCCAGAACCTTCCTGTGTGCACAGCTGCCCAGAATTCAGCAGTTTCAGGAAAATGGAAATAAGGAAATGAGTAAAATCAGGGACTGAGCCAAACACCTGGGCCTTGCCCCAGCTAGCTTCCACCAGACACCTGGGGGGACATGGGGGTGGGCCTGGGCCCTTCTGGGGCTCTCTGCCACTTCCTCACCTCAGACTCCTTTCACAGGCAGACTCTCAGAGCCAGGGGAGGCAACTCCATTTCCTTAAACTCTTCTGTGAGTGGCAGCGCCATTCTTGCCATCACAAAAAATCCCCAAGAGGAAGAGTTCTGAATTTATATGCATGGTTTATTTTTGAGGCATTATAGAGGAAAGCATTTCCACATCTGACAGCCACTTCTTTTGCATTTGGACATCAGTAGACTTTTGTCCAAAACTGTTGAAAGGCTCAGGAGGATGGTAAAGTACCTCCTATTGTAAACAAAGTAAGGGAGGTGGGAAGGCCCCATAACGTCTAGCTGAATGTTTTCAGTGTCCAGAGAGCAAAAGTGAGCACTCCTCACTGTAGATGTCCTCACATTTCAACATATGGGAGTCAAGGCTGATTTCTTAATGCTACCAGATGACAAGTGACATGTGCTGCTCCACTTCTACCCCATGACAGACCCCTGGCCAGTTTACATGTTGGATCACTTTCTGGAGTCCCTAAAAACTGTGACATGCAGGTGCAGTAGAAGGGAGCTGGGAGGAAGAGGACAAGGGAGAGGTAGACATACCATGTTTCACCCGCCTCTATTCACTGTGTCCACCGAGTAGCTCATCCCAGCAGGCCTTGGTCTAAATTTTCAGACTATTTTTTTAAATTATTTTTTTGGGGGCAGAGATCTCAGACTGTGCTGGGATTTTCTAAGAGAAACAAGAACTAGCGTCTCACAAGAAGTAGGTTTCAAGAAAAGGCAGACTGCCAGTCTGGCATATGCCTATAATCCCAGCTACTTGGGAGGCTGAGGCAGGAACATGGTGAGCTCTGGGTTAACCTTGGCATCTAAGCAAGACCCCCCATATCACCCTCCCTCAAAAAAAAAAAAAAAAAAAAAAGAAGAAGAAGAAGAAGAAAAGGCAGATTATAGCCGGGCACCGTGGCACATGCCTGTAATCCCAGTGGCTGGGGAGGCTGAGACAGGAGGATCCCAAATTCAAAGCCAGCCTTCACAACATTGAGGTGCTAAGCAACTCTGTGAGACCCTGTCTCTAAATAAAATACAAAATAGGGTTGGAGATGTAGCACAGTGGTTGAGAGCCCTGAGTTCAATCCCCAGTACAAAAAAAAAAGGCAGATTACAGATGTTGGGAAATGTCAAACGAGATGAGAGCCCAGTGAATGCTATTGGTCTGCAATTTGGGACTTTGATAGTCATTCTTGAGAGGCCAAAGCATAAGTGTCATACCCTCTTTAATTACATTTTAGGGATATTTTAATGTCTTACCTTCTGGACTGCAAAAATTGGGCTGCTTTTGTTTTTGTCACACTCAGAAATATTGTTATCAAGGGCAAAGCTGTAGTTGCTTGTTTCTTCCCATATTCTCCTATACAGGTATTGTGTCGTCAGTGGAGAGATCAAAGACAGAGCAAAGGAGTTAAGGAGAATGGCAGGTTCAACATAGGAAATCTTCATATTGTTTGGGTAGGTGGCTGAATTCTAATAGGAAAAAAAAGAGAGAGGAAACCAATTGCATTCTTATCTCAGAGCCTAATTTTTCAAAGTTGGGGAAGCTAGAAAACATTTTGGAGTAAATATCACACAAGCAAACTAACAGAAAAGCAGTGAGCCCTTCCTAGGAGAATCACTTTTACTTGGGAGTACTCAGCGGGGATCATCACTCTTTTCGGTGTTCAAGAGTGGGACGTTTTAACACTCAAGCCGCCCTGGAGAAGATTCTTTGTGATGATCTTACCCAGTTCTCCCCGCTGTGGGTGAGTCAATGGTCAGACTGCATCTCACCAGCTGGTTTTCATAAGGTAAACAAAGGAGTTTCCTTAGGATACCGCAGTTACGCAACTGTTATTGTCATTTTGCTGCGTGTTAATGGGCAGGGAAGGAGTCTGAAAAGCAAAACTTTTAATCGGAAGGGTTTTTTTCTTTTTCCTTTCTGTAACTCACCCCGCGATTAGTCTGCCTGCCGGGCTAGGAGGCCCAGCATTTTCGGGGTCAGACTCCTGATGCCCCGCGCTGGCGCAGCGCCTTCGGGCTCTAGGGCAGCTCCCAGCGCTGGGGCACTGGCGGCTGCGAGGGCCACTCAGCCCGGGTGGTGGGGAGAGGGCCGGGGCTGCGCAGCCGGCGCTGTAGTGGGGCGCGCAGGGGATGAAATTCGCCTGTCGGGGAAACACGAACCCTATTTTAAAGCAAACCAAGACAAGCGTACTTCCTGCGTCCAGAATGACACCCGCGACAGTCACTGCGCTGCCCTCGGCTCCTCCTCGGGCCTGCGGACTTGCTCTCAGCCAGCTCCCGGAGGCGCCGGCGGCAGCTGCTCTTCCTGGCTCTGACAAGCCTGTCCGCCACCTGCCGGGCCCGCTCTTGGCAGTGACTCAGCTGCGGCCCGCGAAGCCTCGGGGCCCACGGAGGAGGCCGGGCGGGCGGCTGTCTGCGTTGTCACAGTACGACCCGGCTGTCCTGCGATTGGGCTCTGCGGCCGGCGCCCCCGCGGGGATTGGTGCGCCTTGCTGTCATGTCACTCTCGTGTTCCCGCCCCTTCAGGCCGGAGGTGAAGCCCTGTGGAGCCCGGGTGCCCAGGTGCTGCTGGTGGGCGCGCGCAACTGTTCTGCAACGCCAAGCATTTCGAAGTCCGAATATCGTGTTTACGGCAGCGCACAGAAGATCTGTTTCAGAGGGACACGTTTGGGCTGCAGCTCACTGTAGTATACCCGTCGGCTGGGCAAGTGCGGGCAGAAAGAAGTAGCGCAGTAGAGGAGGACCAGATAGGGAGTGCCGGTGGAGAGTACAGGAAAGTTAGACCAGCTTTGCAATGTGATCGCTGGCTTTTCCTATTGATGGTGGCCTTGGGAAAAAAATTAGATCTCTAAAACCCTCATTTCGTTGTTTGTCAAGCAAGGATCAGAAGTCTTATAGAGTTGTAATTAAAACCTCAACATACGCACACAGCAGGGCCACTGAAACAGGAGCATCAATGCCCTCAAACTGTTACTTCTTGAAGGAAGGAGGAATGCATAGGTAGGGAGCCCTGGGGCAACTCAGTAAGAAGGTGTTACAATTTACTAGGGGCTCCTATTCTTGAGTCAGGAAACTGTTCAAGAACAAAAACAAGGTTTTCCTCTCGAGTGGTTTCTGTCTGGAGGTAACCACTCTTTGATTAGTATCTTAATAAATCTTATCTAGGAGTCAAAATCAGATGGAAGCTAAAGCCATAATTGATAAAGAAAGCCTCAGTCATGAATATTTGTCATTTTTTGTGGCTTAGGCAATGTTCAAGTTTTGTCTTAAGATCACTATGAAGTGATCTTATTTTTGTCTTGCTCATGGTCCAGAATGGCCTTGTCTGGTATTGGTGTTCTTTTAGTCATCAGAACACTGGGGTCTAGAAAAACTCACAGCAACTCAGACTCAGATGATAGTTCCAAACCTGGCTTTCAGAGCCACTTTCTCTTTCTCAGTACCCATTTAAATGATACTCTTGTCACTGAATGGAATGTCAAAAGTCTTTGGTTTGAGTCCTCATAGGTACTTAATAACTAGTAGCCTTGGACTTGCCCCAAACTTAATTCTCAGTTTCTTCAAATGAGCATATATGAAGCACTTATGATGTTTCAAACAATGGAACACAGATGTTGGAAAGAAGATAGACAAAAGTGAATAAGATGGTTTACTGTGAAGACAATATATATATAATTTTTTTTTTCGGTATTGGAGATTTAACCAGGTTGTTTTACCATTAAATGGCTAGCCCTTTTTATTTTTTTCATTTTGAGACAGTGTTTCACTAAGTTGCTTAGGACCTCACTGATTTACTGAGGCTAGTCTCAAACTTGTGATCCTCTTGCCTCAGCCTCTCAAATCCCTGGGATTACAGATGTGTGCCACCACACAAGGCCGAAGATGTAACATTTTAAAATTAAAGTGCATTTTGCTAGGGGGTAGACTAGAGATGTATTTAAAGTGGGAAGGGTCACCAAGAACAGCTGATTCTAACCAGAAGGAGTTGATATGGACTAGAGAAAAAGTGATCTGACTACCCACAAGAACATAAGGGAGGAAATGATCTATACCTTAGTACATTCAACAGTTGTCAAGCACTCTATGATCTTAGTTATTGTTACTAAAATAGCATCCATCTTGTGCTAATGAACCTATTTTCTGAATATTTTGCCTGATCAGAAGCAAAATGATCATTTCAGGATTTGGCTCCTATAAAATCAACAAGATCAAGGTCATGCCCCAAATCTTCTATTTTTCTAACAGTGAAAGTGTATCTGTCAAGCTACATGTCCATTTTGGATTACTGGGAAGCTTCAATTCCCATCATTTTCATTCATGGACACAGATTGATGGAGCCATCTTTGACTATTATTGTTGGCACAAGGGTAGAGAGAAGGAAATATGATAAATCTGATACCAGCTCTTAATGGTTCACCCTTAGAAATGGTACATGACACTTCTGCTCACATTCCATTGGCCAGAACAAGTCTCAGGACCATGTGGAGAACTACAGTCCTATCATGTGTTCAGAGGAATAGGTAATAATGACAATGGCTCTAATCTCTTCCATGTCCTCAGGCCATAATTTCTCATGAAAATCAATAGAAAGGAAAAGGCATTTAGAAGACGTCCTTTCTTATGGAACAGGATGATTTGTATCCAATATACTTCCATGTCTTGCTAGCCCTACTTTTATACACCAAAAAGGAAGTCAGGCCTTCTTAATGTATTCAGCTGTCCTTCTCTATGGTGACAATTGTTTTACAAGTCTCTTCTTTTTCTTTTCTTTTTCTTTTTGTCAAATAATACTAAATCCTTGAATATGTACAAATTGAAAAAGACTTAATCAACTCTTCATTGGAAGCTGTCACTGTACTGGGTATTGTGGGTGAAACAAAAATCACACATCATTGTTAATCATTGAAGAAGTTTCCCTTTCTTTGGTAAGAAAAGGTGGAAATATGTGAAGGGAGTAAGGATGATTCTAAAAAAAAAGAAGAAGAAAGTATTTGGAAATCATCAGAGACTCATCAGTCCCTGTACCCACTATGGTCATTACCCGTTACAGGCTCAAGTTTTCTTCCTTCAAAGACTGAGAGGAGAAACAATAGAAAGGGCTAGCTGGGCCAGGAGCAACAGCCATCCGCCAGGTAGGTATAATTTGCCTGAAATGCAGGTCAACAGGTATAAACCTTCAGGACAGGAGCCTCCAGGAAGATTTTGAAATTTTGTGTTCTCAGTTCAATGACCTAGAAATTTTAATGTAAGCACTTTATGAATTGTCTTATAATCAAGTACTGACATTTGGTTTCAGTATCTGTATTTGTATTTTTTATTTTTGGTCCCATTGGCTTCAAGCAAGAGTGGTTCAATAATGTTAGATTAATGGGAATAAATATATAAATGATATGCCCAACCTATGTGAAGGCCAAATAACGTCACATGTTGTTCAAGATGTTGGTAAAGATGGCGCCCTGAGTGCTTCTCTTCTGGGAGCTCAGGTTCATGACGCACTGAATGGCGCGAGAACCATCACATCCAGTCCCTGTGATGGCGCTAACTTTGAATGGCGCACCTCCAATCCCTGAAGTGGTGACTCTCAGCCAATGAAGAAGTAACAGCCCACTCGCCTTGCTCCTCCTCATCCTGTGTTAAGCCCATAAATATCAATAATCTGTTCCTGTTCGTTGTCTTACTCTTACTCTCTCTTACTCTTGCTCTCTTACTCTCTTACCCTCCCCTCTCTCTCCCCCCCACTTCTCTCTCTCTCCCCCCCTCTCTCCCCCTCCTTTCTCTCTCCCTCCCTCTCTCCCCCCTCCTCTCTCTCTCTCTCTCCTCCCTTTTCTTCTGCGACTGGCCGCTATGGTCCTGCTAATAAAATCTCGGACAGGTAAACAGTTGTTTTGGCTTGTTGAGTTTACGGAGCTTTTCCATCGTCCTTTACACAAGAGAAGTTTTTATACTATCTCAATAAAAACTGGGAGAGAAGAAATGAGCCCTCCCCTGACACACGAACACATATATTAAACAAAAGAACCCATGCTGTGCTGGACAGCACCGTATTCAAGTGGAAAAAGCCCAGACAGAATATAGCGGTTATGAGATTTTGCTTGTTTCAAGAACTTTGTTTTTTTCACTTCTGATAAAATGGGAAAAGATGTAATAGGAAAAACCTTCAGTTATCCCAATTGCTGCTTACTAGGTGATTGTTAGTAAGATAAGTATAAATTGTTACAAGGTACAATTGTACAAATTGTTAAAAGGAGATGTAATCTGATCATATGACCCTGGTGAGTAATTTTCTAGAAGAGACCTGAGCAGGTCTTATCTATTTGAGAAATTCATAGCCTGACTTCAGTCCTTGTCTGTCCTGACCTCTGTTGCACTAGACACTGTTAAACAGATTCCTCCTTCGGGAAAATGTTCTTTCCCTTTAGATTCTATGGCCAGACTCTGTCTTCTTGCCACTTCAAGGATGCATTTTTGGTTTTCTGTGTGAGCTTGCTTCTCAATTCATGCTGTCCCTCAGGTTCCATCTCAGCTCTTTCTCCTCAGTCAATCTCACCTACACTTGTGACTCACATCACAAATGTGCGGCCCACTCCCGAATCCCTTATCTCAAGCTTGCTCTCTTCTCTCCAACCTGTCACTCAGAGGGGCCACCTGAATATAGGTTGAGCATACCCTAACCAAAATGCTTGGGATAAGAAGTATTTCAGACTTCAGAGAATATTGGATTTTGGAAAATTTATATAGACTTAACCATTTGAGCATCACTAATTTAAAACATCTGAAATTTGAAATGCTCTGAAATTTGAAATTTTTTTGTGTCATCTTGGTGCTCTAGAAGTTTTGAATTTAGGAGCATTTCAAACATCAAATTTTCAACCTATATTTTTAAAAATGACTGTATGCTTAAAATGTCCAAAGCAAATACCATCTTCCTGATAAATCTGATACCCTTTTGTAATCCCTGTTTCAGTCAGTGATCACTGCCCCGTAAACAGAGACATGGGAGTCATCCCTCACTTCTTGGTCACCACATACATGGTGAATATTTTACACTGTAGGTATAACTGGTATTATCCAAACCTATTCTCAGTGTGTGCCTATAAGGCAGGTAAGGCCCCTGGTTTTAGAGATTAAGGTTAAACAGCTCTTTTTTGACTTGGTTCAGGTTGGGGGCTATGATATCTTGCCATTGCTCTATTGGTAAGTAGCATATTAAAGTTGCTGGAGGTGGGCAAATACGCAAAGAGACTAGGGCATTCCCTTGTAAATCAAATTCTTACCCTTTTCCTTTGAGGTTGCAAATTATTACACTTTTGATAGGGTGGGATGGTCCAAGGAAGATTGGTTTTCAGAAATGTCTGATAAGGGCTATCAG